AGATGAATAAAAAAAAGACAGATTAATCATGCAACAAAAGCTTGTGGATTCTGCTGTTATTTTCCCTGAGTAGTCGTCTTTTGTTGGAACAGCTGATAGCGACAGTAATTGTTGGTTTGAAGTTTGAATGGCTCTTAGAAGTTGAATATAAATCAGAGGGTGCGGTGGTTAATAAATTCAATCTTAGCCACTAATAAGCCTGGTCCTATCGCTCTGAAACAGCTGTGACAGTCACAGTGACGTATGACGACGGCAGCTCAGCAAATAGGAAGAGGCTTCTCTGCAAAATCAGATTGTCTGTACAGTGCAGAGCAACATGAAACAAACCAACAGAATATACACAAATATACACAAAACAAAATGCATGAATAGCAATGTATACCTCTATGTATCTGTCAGAATACTTATTGAGGTATCCAGATTTACTACAACATTTAAATGATGGTACCTCCGTGGTTACAACACGTGCTACGTAACTGCGCTGTCCCTGATTCAGTTCCAGTCCCTGTGTTGCATGTCATCATAGGAACAATGAATTTATTTCAAATCAATATCGTGGTTTGAAACAATGCAATTTGCAAATGACAAAGGGTTCATTTTAGGATATTTGTTATGCAACGTGTCTGACCCGGTTAACAGTCAAATCAATGCTTTTGCACATTCATGTGGTCCTCTATGTGTGAAATCATGCTTTGCATTGTATCTCATGTGTAAATGCTCCATTACATGTTTCAAATCTATTACACAGTGAATACTGAAGCAAAGTTTTACTCAAAAAAGTTAGAATGCAAATCAAATGGCTGTCCCACTCTGTTAGAAAAACTGGCCATTAAATGTTTTACTCAAGTCATTCAGTTCTAATGTCCAAATCGTGTGTCATACCACTGTCTTTCACTGCGTCCTCACTTTGAACTGTCTGATAAAGGCAAATTGTGTCCAAAAATAAACTTTCAAAATAGCACTTCCGACATTCAGTGTGTTTGTAATACTTTGCTATTAGCTGAGTGATCGACAGCTTCTGCTTTGAAAAGTTTGAAACTGCTGTTCTTGTGAAAAAGATTTGTATTGTTGTGCGGTAACTTAAGCAGCACTCTCCTTTGCTCACCCCTTTCCCCTCTCACTTTACCCCTCCTTGGTTACCGTGGGAACT